GGAGCAGGGGTTGCGTCATACGGTGAAGGATGAGAGAGAGAAGGGCAAGAGCGGCGAGGGGGAGGAGAAGGAAGAGGAGGTGATCGATCGGGCAAAGTTCCTCAAGATTCTCAAGCAGCATCAGCGGCAGCTGAAGCGACAGCTGCAGCAGCAGGCAGAGGAGAATCGTAGAGGCCACCGAGGGAGGGGAAGGAACGGGGACTCGGAGGAGGAGGGAGAGGATGGAGGAGAGAGGGAAGCGGAAGAGGATGAGGAAGGGGAGGAAAGGGACGAATTTGAGGATGAGGATGAGGATGATTTGGCTGTGTTGCGCCGGGCGCTGGAGCATGAAATGGAGCTGGTAGATTCTCTTAGACGGGAGCTGGACCAGGAACGGGCGGCGGCTGACAGTGCCGCCCAGGCCAGCATGGAGCTGATCCGCCGGCTGCAAGAGGACAAAGCCGCCGCCCACCTTGCCGCCCGGCAGCGGGAGCGGATTCTGGAGGAGAAGGCGGTTTATGATGAGGAGAGGGTGGAGGTGCTGAGGCAGATCATGCAGCGGCAGCAGGAGGAGGTAGAGTGGTTGGAAGGGGAGTTAGAGCGGTGCAGAAGGCAATTGGGGGTGTTGTGGGAGGCTGGGATGGCTGTGATGGGGGAGGAGGAAGGGGGAGAGGGAGGGGGAGTGGGATGGGGAGAGGGTGGAGGGTTGGGAGGGTTTGAGGGGATGGGAGTGGGGGGAGGAGTGGGTGGGGTTGATGTGGATTGGGCGCAGCTGTTGGGGGAAGAAGGGGTGGCGGATGATATGTTGGGGGGAGGGGGGATGGGGGGAGGGGAGTTTGGGGAAGGGGAGATGGGGGGAGGGGAGATGGCGGGTGGGGAGCTGGGGGGAGGGGAGATGGGAGAGGGACAGACGGCAGTGGGACGATGGGATGGGGACGGGGAGGGGCAGAGAGGTGGTGGGGGAGACGAGGATAGGGAGATGGAGGAGGAGGGCGTGGGGGAGAAGGAGAGAGGAGGGCAGGAGGAGGGAGGAGAAGGGGGTGAGAAGGTCGAATATGGTGGGGAGGACGAGAGGCTTCAAAAAGCCAACGGGGAGGATGGCTCTTCGCAAGCCGAAGGTGTGCGTGAAGACGGAAACATCAGAGAACCTTTGACAGAGACAATATTAGATAATGAGAAGGACCCGAGTGTTATGGATGTGGGGAGCTTGGGCATGAGTGTTCCAGGGAGTGTTGAAGGGGCTGACGATTCCAAGCAGGACGACAAGAGGGGTGAGCGGGATGAGGTGGGTGAGTTGGTGGAAGAAGAGGCGTTGGATTGTCATGGGGATGGGCAAGCTTGTTTTGAGAATGGGGATGAGGCGCGCAGACAGGATGCGGGAGAGGCATGCAGTGCTGCAGAGCTTGGGAATGGAAGTACGGAGAAGGAAGGAGAGGAAGAGGAGAGGGGAAGGAAGGAGGAAGAGAGGTTGCTGGTTAAGACGGAAGGGGAGGAGGGGCATGAGGTGAAGGAGGGGACGGATGAGGAGGGCGAGGGGAGTAAGGAGAAAAGGGAAAAAGGGGGAGGCGAGAGGGAGGAGGTGGATGAGGGAGAGGGCGAGGAGATGAGGGAGGAGAATGGGGAGACAGGGGAGGGCGAAAAGGAGGAGGCAAAGGAGGAGCGGGAGGGGAGGATGGAGGCGCAGACAAGGGAAGAGGAGGAAACAGCGGAAGTGTGTGATGATGAGGAGAAGAAGGGGGGTGAGGTGGAGGGGCAGGTGGAGGGGGGGAAAAACGAGGAGGGTGGGGAGAAGGGAGGGAGGGAATGGGAGGAGAGAGGAGAGGAGAAGGGGGAGGAGAAGGGAGAGGAGAAGGGGGAGGAGGAAGGGAAGGAGGAAGGTGAGGAGAATGCAGGGCTTCTGGATGAGATGGTCAATGGGGATGCGGGAGGGAACGCGGAAGCGGAAGGGTTGCAGGAGAATCCAGCGATGCATGGGCATGAAGAGGAGCCCAAGGAGTTGGGAGAAGAGAGTGTGCAAAGGATGGGGTCTAGCGGAGGTGAATCGGGCGACCTGGACGAAGTGTGGCGCGAGTTTGAAGCGCAGATAGACCCTTCTGCTGCTGCATCACAGCATGGAAACGCAGAAGCAGCAGCAGAAGCAGCAGAAGGGGAGGCGTCTTTCATGGGTGTGCCGTCGCCGCTGCCGCCTCTTTCAGTGTTTGTGACGCCAACCAAGGAGCTGCAGCGCCTGAAGAGCTCCTCTCGAGCCAGCTCTGCTAGCGCGGGGGGCTCGCCCTTAGGCTCCCCCCATGCAGCTGTGGCCGCGAGTGGAAGTGGGAGTGCGTTTCGCTTGCCCAGGCAGCTGACGCCGAACGACCAGATGAAGCGAGCACGACAGGTGAGAAAGGGGGGGGGGGGGGGGGTGGGGTGAGACAGGTGACTTGCTCGAGAGAAATGAGAGGAGAAGGGAGAGTGGAGAATGTGAGAGGTGGAGAGGTGAGAGGTGGTGAGAGGTGGGAGATATGTGAGAGAGTGGGTTCCGCAGTCCTTCCCCCGTGCAACTGTGGCTGCGAGTGGCAGTGGGAGTGGTGGGAGTGCGTTTCGCTTGCCCAGGCAGCTGGCCCCGATTGACCAGATGAAGCGAGCGCGACAGGTGAAGGGAGGGGTTGAGGCCTGTGAGGGAGGTGAGACGGGTGAGAGGTGAGAGGGGTGAGAGAGATGAGAGAGAGGGATGGGAGGTGTGAGTGGGGTGAGAAGGGTGAGGGATGAGAGGGTTGAGAGGGGTGAAAGAGGTGAGGGGTGAGAGGGGAGAGTGGTGAGAGGGGTGAGAGGGGAGAGGGGTTAGAGAGTGAGGTGAGGGAGAGATGAGGGAGAGTGAGGGAGAGGTGGGAGCGAGGAGAGGGAGAGGTGGGAGGAAGGTGAGACACGAGCCGTTCGCACACGACCTACTATTGTTACAAAAGCCTTCCCAGGTTTGCACGTGTACAGAATGCTAGAAACATCTGTGAACATCAGCAGCAAGTTTTGAGGCTCCTCAAAAGTCATCTGTGAACATCAGCAGCATTGCATTGCATCCCTCACTGCCTGCCTCTCCTCCTCCCTTCGTGCTGCCCTCCGTTATCTCAATCTGTTGGGGTTTGCAGGAAGAGACGAGGAAGCTTCTGGACTGCCTGACCGTGCTGGACGTGGAGAGTGAGCTGCGGCTGAGGGAGCTGGAAGGGGGGGTGCTGCCCAAGTGACCTGCGTTTTCAGTCAATGCAACAACTGCATGCCTGGGTGAATCTGAAGTAGCAGGTGTAAGGGGGGCCCTCTCGACTGTGTTGGATGTGGAGAGTGAATTGCAGCTGAGGGAGCTGGAAGGGGGGGTGCTGCCTAAGTGACCTGCCTTGCTAGTCCATGCAAGAAACAACTCCCTTGGTGAACATGGAAAACTAGGTACAACGGAGCTGGAAGGAGGGGTGCTTGCCCAAGTGACCTAGCAGCCTAGCTAGTCCATGCAAGAAACAACTCCCTTGGTGAATATGGAAAAACAGGTACAAGGGAGCTCTTCTGGACTGTGCTGGGCGTGGAGGGTAGGGTAAGATGCGGCTTAGGGAGCTGGAAGGGGGGTTGCTGCCCAAATGACCTAGCTGCCTGGCTTGCTAGTCAACACAGCAACTGCCTGAGTGAATCTGAGGCGGCAGATTTAAGGAGGAAGAAGGCCTTCTGGACTGTGCTGGGCGTGTGGAGGGAGTGGGATGCGGCTGAGGGAGGTGGAATGGGGGGTCTTGCTGAAGTGAGCTGCCTTGCTAGTCAACGCAACAACTGTTAGGCAGCAGGTGTAAAGCAGGGCCTCAGATTCGTTTGGGGGTACACTGAGGCCTCAGGGCAGTTTTTAGGAAATCAGAATTTGCCCTGAATTGGCAGGGCTGCACAGGGTGAGGTATCCTGAAATGCCAGTGCTACATTTAGTAGTATCCATATATTTTTTGTGCTACAACTAGCGATAGGTGAAGTGTCGTAGCGGGTTAAGTGACAATGCGATACGTTAAAGCCCGAGTCCCAAATTGCGAGGCGCGTGGATCATGCTTTTAAAACTTGATGAAGTGCAGTGTGCAAGCTTTGAAAAGCAGCGCACCTGCAATTTGGGACTTTCGGGTGCTGACACAATCCCCAGGGCGAAATACGTGGGTTGGCTGGGTTAGGCGAAAAAAGCGAAATGCCCGAAATCGGAATCACTCGCCAAAACCCAAACCAGAAAAAAACCCCTCGCGTCATCCTTTTAAAACTTGTGCAATTTGGGCTTCCGGCTTTAAAGGTCTCCTGCTCGATTCCCGCTGGCTTCTATGTGGAGGTGCTCGCCCGTTCATATTTTAGGCCCCAAGACCCAGGAGATTTTTCTTACAGTACATCTCGCCTCAGAGCGAGATTCGACACTATCCTGACTCATCAGAGCTGAACCTACAGCCTTATCCTGAGTTTTCAGTACGCAAAATAACCGTTATACTGAAATTGCAGGACAATTATTCCTGTTATGCTGTTTTTCCAGGACTAGCACACGACACCTATCCTGAATTCAGGAGAATCAGTATAAATTATCCTGATAACTGAGGCCCTGGTGTAAAGGCTGCCTTACTTGATAGAGAGTGGGATGTGGCTGAGGGGCCTGGAAAGCACGGATTGGGGCTACCCAAGTGGTTCAGTTCTGCTACAAGTAGCTACAGTCATAGCTACGGCTGTAGAATGCTGATTGCTAGGTGTGGTATGGTTTATTGGTATTAACTGCAACTGCTCAATATACCGTGGTTTAATGGGGTCTATTGAGGTGTACGCTCCCAGCACGCACTGTTTCGGTAGGACAGGTGCGGGCACCCTAAACCCTACGACCAAAGAAACCCCTGAATGTGCGGCATGGTATGTATCTTGATGTTGGTTAGCGCGTTGCACAGCTTGTTAGCATCCACAGCGTCGATAACAGGGATACGATACAAGCAGGACAGTCTCCTGAGTGCTTGCGGTACGACTAGCATACATAAAAGCGGCTTAATGTGGTCAGCTGTGGTTCAATGCGGTGCAAGGAAGCCGTCAGCACACACGATGCCACTAACGGGGACGTCAGATGTTTCCATGGGGAGGGGCGAGGAGAGGATCTGTGCCTTGTAGGCCAGAGCGACTGCGGTGGGGTGTTGGCAAAGGGAGAAGAGAAGAAGGGAGTCTGATTCGGTTAGCTGCGGTTCAATGTGGTGCAAGCACACACGATGCCACAAATTGGGACATCAGGTGTCTCCATAGGGAGGGGCGAGGAGAGAATCTGAGCCTTGTAGGCCAGAACCACTGCGGTGGTGACAATTTAACGTGGTGAATTCAAGGGAAGAATTGAAGGACCTGGGGACATGGGGACATGGGGACATGGGGACATGGGGACCTGGGGACATGGGGACATGGGGACATGGGGACATGGGGACATGGGGACATGGGGACATGGGGACATGGGGACATGGGGACATGGGGACATGGGGACATGGGGACATGGGGACATGGGGACATGGGGACATGGGGACATGGGGACATGGGGACATGGGGACATGGGGACATGGGGACGTGGGGACCTGGGGACGTGGGCAGGGAGAGAATCTGAGCCTTTTTGGTCAATGCCACTGTGGTGGCGGCTCGGGGGGAAGAGAGGGGACGAAAGAAGGGGAGGATAAAGGAGGGTGTTTGGGTGGGTAAAAGGGAGAGACAAGGGAGATAATTTGAGCCTTGTATGCCAGTGCCATGAAGTGGTGGCAATGGGTGAATGGGAGTCCAATGCGGTTAGTTGCTGGCAAGCGAGCCATACATATGAGTGACACTCAAAGGTGACAGTGTGACACTCAAAGGTGACACTCAAAGGTGACACGGCATATTGTACTGTGACATTCAAGAAGAAACGGGAGGATAACTTTTGAGGCGCCTCAAAAGGTGACATGACAAATTGTAGTGTGAAATTTGAGCAGAGACCGGAGGGTACCTATGAGCGGCTGTTTCCACTGCCTGGCCTGGGCATGTGTTGAGTACTGCGAACGAGCATAACTATGCTTTATGTGAGGCCCCTCAAAACAACACTAAGGAAGCAGGAGCGCACCTATTCTTGATTTGGACCCCTCAAAACAACGCTTAGAGGAAGCAGGGGCGTACATATGAGCCGTTGCTTCCACTGCTTTGAGTCGACTAAAAATGTCACAACATCTTTGTAACGCTAAGGAGGCGTAACTATGTTTGCACTGCCTCAGAAACTAAGAGGAAGCAGGGGCGTACCTATGAGCGGTTGCTTCCACTGCTTTGTTTGGGCATGCGCCAAGTACTGCGAGAGAAACACGTCGTAGTACCTTTTGGCGAGGCGTGCAATAAGGGGGATGGTGAGAGACAAGAGCACAGGGAGGAAAAGAAGGAATGGGTGTGTCAATAGAGACCGAGAGACAAGTTCTCTTATCATTATTGGGTTAACTCAAAACTAGATGGGGATAAGAGGCAGAATGAGTGTAGCATGGGAGGCAGCAGGAGAAACGGAAAGGTGCTCTAGAAAAGGATCGGCAGTGGGGAATTGGGGGGTGTGGGTTTGGGTGTGGGGGAGAGAGGGGGGGGAGAGAAAGAGGGGGCAGGGGGAGAAGCCGAGAGAGGGAGTGACTCACCCTCCTCCTCGGCCCAGTCTCCCACCGCTGCGATCAAACGCCAACCCCGGCACGAGAATCAGATCCAACGGCTCCTGTTCACCGTACACTGTAGATGGCGATGAGACGTGGAAGGGAGGCGGCAATAAGAGTCGGATTACAGGTTACCTCAGATGAAAGCACAAATGGCCTAGGGTCAAGAGAGTGGGCAGAGGAACCGGCAAAAAAAGGGAGAAGGGGAAGAGAGGAGGACAAGGAATAAGCTGCATTTGCGAGAGGAAACAGAAACAAGAGCAACACCAAGTCGAGCCTTGAATGTGAGATGAGCTCACCGTTGGATCGTGGCCGTCCATCTGTGAGGGTCAGGGTGGGCTCCAGTAGCCCCATCCCATTGCGCGCCAAGTCCCCTTCTGCTGCTCTTGCCCCTGCTTCTGCTCCTGCTCCTTGCTCTTGCGCTTTCACCCCCTCCCTGTCCCCCTTCGCTCCCCCCTTCCCTCCGCCCCCCCCCCCTCCCCTCTGCCCTCCGCCCTCCCCCACTACATTCACGGAGTTGATTTTCAGCATCACCATGTGGCTCTCGCTGTCCATGACACGTGGCACAAACACACTGGCTGAGAGGCGAAGGACGCAATGGGGAGAGGGCGTGTGTAAGAAAAAAAGGGGTTGGCGCTTTTCATGGTTTTCAAAAGCGACTCAAATTTGGTACGAATGCACGAGAGCAAGCAAGAAACGACCCCTCTCCTCCTCTCCCCTCCCGTCCCCTACCCTCCCCTACCCTCCCCTCCCCTCCGCTCCCCTCCCCTCCCCTCGTCTAGGTTCTACATTCTCTCTCCTTTTCCTTCTCCCCCCTTCCCTCTCATTCCCACACCCTCCCTTCTCACCTCCTCTCCCGAGCAGGTCGCTGATGACGTCAGCAGTCTCCACCTCCCTCAATTTCCGGCAGCTGATGTAAGCAGCCACGCGCTGCGCGGACCTGAACCAATCAGCCTGCACCACGTGGCGCTGCACTGCCACGTCTGCGCCGAAGAGAGATCAGGAAGATAAAGGGTGTTCGAGGGAGGGAGGAGGGAAGGAGGGGAGATGGGGAGAGAGGGAGGGAGGAGGGAAGGGGAGAGGGAGTGCAGAGAAAATACGGGGGATTGAGGTAGGCAGGATTGGGGCAAGGGAGGTCAGGAGCAGGGGAGTTGGGGGGACGGGGCGCAAGAATAAGTGCGGTGGAAAGGGCTGGAGTGGGGTTGGGAGAGGTGGTGGCGGGAAGGGAGAGTGTGAAGGAGGTTCACCTTCAGCCGTGCGTTGCTCCTCCGTCAATCCTCGAAGCGCCTTCTTCACATCCTTGCGGAACCGCGTCTTGTCGTCCACCAGCGAGCCCATCGCCAGGTCGAGCCGCTCCGGGTGACCCCATGGAATCGCGCGCGACTCGGAATCTCCGCCGTCTCCGCCGATGGCGGGGGCTTCCGCGGAGATCAGCGACTCGGGAGGCGCCATGCACGCGCGAAACTGTAACGAGCGGGACTGTGACGAGGTCCTAGTCGAAGGCACAGTGTTAAAGACGGGATTTGAAATGAGATTGGCGGAAGACGAATACGGACGGGATCGAAGCGGGTCGAGGGGACGGAGGAGATCAAGCGGTCGACCGGGAATCAGGGCGACGAGAGGCGAAGCGAGCCGAGCCGCAGCTGCTGCGACGGCAATTGCCGGAGGCACCATGCGCGATGCGACGCTTCTGAATGCGCCTCAAAACGCGAGGTGATTCAGACCAAAGGTCTTTGCTGTATTAATTTTGTCATTTATCAGGATTCATTTGTGCAGTTTCTTGTCCCGTTTCCACGCATTAGTTCAATTATTCGAAAACACCACTGCGTACTCGCTATTGCACGCTCTGTGATTCCAAACGAATCGCATTCAACCACACACCACCAGCAAAGACTCATGGGTTTCTCCCGCACACCACTTTCTGCTGCAGTCGTGTTCTCAGAAATTCGTAAAATAGCTGTCATTTTCGGCTGTTTCTGTTTCTCGTGACTCGCCAGGCACGAGTGAAGTAGAAGTACGCCTCACTCTAGTATCTCTCGCGTTCTCCAGCCTCCACATCATGGCTTCACCCGCCGTTGCGCTCGGCGCGACTCATTCCGTCGCGCTCGGCGCGTTTCACTCCGCCGCCGCGGATGCCGCGCGGATTTCTCAGCTCTCCGCGCTTATCCCCGCCTCCGCATTTCCGCCGCCCGCGCTGGTAGGAATCCACCATCGCCGGAATAAATCCCGGCCGGCACGCGTGTCCGCATCACTCTTCGGCTCCTCTCCCCCCTCCGCCTCCCCCTCCGCCTCTTCCGCCTCTCAGGCTGCAGCGGCGGCGGAAGCGGCGGGGAAGACGGTGTGGGTCCAGAAGACGATTGAGCTGCCGCCCTACAAACGGTACACGTGGCGAGACGCATTCAGCATTCACACTCACGTGACCGACTTACAACGTCACACTCAGCACGAGACCATTGCTCCAGACTCTCCCTCTCTCCCCCATCCTCCCCCCACTCCTTTATGAGGCGCCTCAGAAATCGGCACGACACCACTGTTCCAGACTCTCCCTCTCTCCCTCTCTCTCCCTCTCTCTCTCTCTCTCTCTCTCTCTCTCTCTCTCTCTCTCTCTCTCTCTCTCTCTCTCTCTCTCTTCCATCCTCCCCCCCCTCCTTTGGCCTCCTCCCCCTCCCCTTCACCACTCCACCCTCCTAACATCCGCTTACCTCCCCCCTTCCTCCCCCATGGCCCCATTCCCGCGCCAATCAGAGGCTGCCACATCATCACATCGCAGATCATGCGGGCCGTGCCAGAGATCTCCGAGTTTCGCGTCGGAATCGCAAATATCTTTGGTGAGCTGGCCTCTTGAGGCGCCTCTAAATATCTTCGGTTAGCCTTTCTCTGCATCACTTTGTAAAAAGAAAACTTTAAGCTGCTGGATTGGCTTTCCAGTTGATAAAAGTGTTGTTTTGAGACGTCTCAAAACAACACTTTTATCACGAAGAAAACTTTAAGCTGGTGGATTGGGCTTCCAGATTGTGAATTTTCAGCTGGGCGTTCAGAGTTCTAAAAGTTGATCTAGCATTCTCGTCAGATTGGCCGACACCGACAGTAGTATTTGTCGCCTTCCTCCCCTCCCCTTCCCTCCTCTCCTCTCCCCCCCTCAACACGATGCCCCCAGTCCTGCCAGCCTCACCATCAACGAGAACGCCCGCCCACACGTGCCTTCACACAGGGACAGCACTCATACCCTCCCTCCTTCCCTTGCGCCTTCTCCCCTACTCCCCGCCCCCCACCTCTCCCCTCCCCTCCAAACCCCCCCCCAGTGCTGTACACGTCAGCCAGCCTCACCATCAACGAGAACGCCCGTCCAGACGTGCCTCTGGACATGGGCAGCGTATGTTTTTTGAGAATTCTCAACAGCAGCATATGTTTTTGAAAAACATACTCTGGACATGGGCAGCGTATGTGATTTGAGAATTCTCAAAAAACATACTCTGGACATGGGCAGCAGCTCGGACATCCTCCCTTCTTCCCTTGTGCCCGCTCCCCTCCGTGTCTCCTCCCCTCCAACCCCCCACCATTCCATCAAACCCACCCCAATCCCCCAGTGCTGCACACATCTGCCAGCCTCACCATCAACGAGAACGTTTAAATGCAGGCGCATCCCCCCATAATACAGGCCCATAAATGCGCCCGATCATTCCCCCCGCGTCCCCCCACCACCCCCCACCCCACCCCCCAGTGCTGCACACATCCGCCAGCCTCACCATCAATGAGAACGCCAGCCCAGACGTGCCTCTGGACATGGAGGACGCTCTCAACCGCATTGCACCGGAGGGCAACCATTACCGCCACTTAGATGAGGGCTATGATGACATGCCAGGTGCGTTGCTTCCCCTTCCCTTCCTCTCAACCAAAATGCACCGGAGGGAAACCATTATCGCCACCTGGACGTGGGCTATGACGACATGCCAGGTGAATCCTTCCTCCCTCCCTTAACACCTTATTGTTCTCAACCGCTTTGCACCACAGGGTCACCACCACACACCCATTGCACCGCAGGGCACCCATTATCACCGCTGTCGCCTCGGGGAGGGTAATGATGACATGACATGCCAGGTGCGTTCCTCTTCCTCTCCAACCCCCTTCGCAACCCCGTTGCACCTTATCGCTCTCAACCGCATTGCACCGGAGGGCAACCATTACTGCCACCTGGACGAGGGCTATGACGACATGCCAGGTCAGCCCTCTCACTGCCTTTCTTTCCTTTCTTCCCTCCTCCACTCCGTCAGTCTATATTTGTCTTGATCCGTTTCTTCTTCCCCATATTTTCCCACATCTTACAGCAGCCCATGTGAGATAAGAGACGACTTTTGAGGCGCCTCAAAAGTCGCTTCTTCTTCCTCATATTTTCCCATATCTTAGAGCAGCCCATGTGAGTTTCTCTCTCAGAACCTCACATGGGAAAAGATATGGGCTGTCCGCAGAAACTCGCATGGCCTGCTCCCTCTCAGAACCACTCTCCATCACACCGTTGTGCTACCATTCACCTTCCTGCCACCACCCATTCTTTCTTCCCCACTGCACTGCACCCCACCCTGCGGCCCACGTCAAAGTCCGCGCTAATTTGCTGCTGTCTCACCGTCCCCATCATGCCCTTGTGCTGTCAAGTGCGCTACCATTCACCGTGCTGCCACCCCCTGTTTCTTCTTCCCCACCCCACCGTGCCCCACCGCACCCCACCGCGCCCCACTTCACCCCACTTCATCCTGCAGCCCACGTGAAGTCATCGCTAATGGGGTGCTCGCTCACCGTCCCCATCATGTCTGGTCGCTTCAAGCTTGGCACATGGCAGGTGCGTTTCTTGTACTCGTTATAAGCTGCTCTCTTCACAGGCACATATGAGCAGGTAGGCGGCGCCTCACGAGTGTGAGCATAGTTTCTATCTACAATCCATCTCATAACAGTTTGTCTCGTTCCAGTTGATCCACAAGTGTGGTAACTGTGTTACCTTGCTTGCTGATCCATCTCGTTTGCCCATGAATTTTCGCACGGCAGGGCATGTCTCTGAACAAGCATCGCATCCCTGTTCACCCTGTTCCTCCCCCCTTCCTCCCCTCCTCCCTTTGAATCACTTTCTTTATTATCCGAATGCAACACGGCAGGGCATCTATCTGAACGAGCACCGTAACTACGGGGGGGCAAGGCAGCTGTGCATTACCATTCAGGGGGAGAAGCGCGCTGATGGGCGGTGAGTGGATGGGAAGATATTCACGGGCACAGCGAAATTCGTAACAAGAGTAAGGGAGGAGCGGTTACCAACTATGGGGGCCCGAGGCAGCTGTGCGTTACCATTCAGGGTGACTTTTGAGTCGACTCAAAAGTCACCTCGTTACTTAGAGCGGTTTCCCACCATGGGGGCGCGAGGCAGCTGTGTGTAACCATTCAGGGGGAGAAGCGCGCCGATGGGCGGTGAGTGGGTAGGCGGATGGGAGGGGGGTGGAGGATAGGGGGAGGAAAGAATGGGAGGTGGGTGGCGCATGATGGAGGGCAAGGATGCCAACACCAACACTGCACGAGTAAGAGAAGAAGGGTTACCAACACCAGCATTGCGGCGGCATTGCACTGCGCCTCTTGAAAGGCGGCATTGCACTGCGCCTTGCCACACTCCTTCCTTCGGATGTGACCCCTCGCCCATGCGCAATGGCTTTTGAGTCGACTCAAAAGTCACCAGCATTGCACTGCGCCTTGCCATGCTTCTTCTCTCCTCTCTGACATGACCGCTCGTCCATACACAGTGCCCACACCATACCATACATGCATCCACACAAGTCCTTATGCCATTCCTCCCTTAATCCTCCCTCATTCATCTCCCTATCAGGGTCTATAGATGACATGACATCAGCCCTAAATGCTGCCTTTCAAGCTTGACCGTGGGAGGGTAATGATAATGAGTGGGAGAGGTGGAGAAGGGGGAGAAGGGGGGAGAGGTGGAGGTGAAGGGGGATCAGTTGGACATTATATACTTGCATCGGATCAGGTTATGGGATCCCCAACTAGTTGTACATACACCATATGATTAGCTCTGTCCTAGAAACACACATAAAAACCTCCATGCAACACACTAGAATTCACAACTACCCACTGATGGGTGACCTACCCACTGATGGGTGTGTGCAGCTCAACACTGCATGACCTAGTACCGTAAGTGTGGTTTGATTACAGGCCCACTTTACGGTACAATCACCAACACAGCTCGCCACTACAGATAACCAGGCGTTACAGCCCCTGTAATACAGTCTCTGCAATACGACTTATTTGTACCTGCATCTGGCAACAGCACTTTCCATTTCAACTGCCAAACCTATGGCTGGCAGTAAATCTCAGGCACCTATAAAATCGTCTCATTTCACGCATGAACTGATACATGTAACTGGCACTAGCAGTCTCTGTCTGAACTGTCTTCACACATGCGGTACCGTAGTTGGAACTATGGCATAGTGAGCATGGCATGCCTGTTGGCTTGAACAAAGAAGTTGAATCAGGACTGTGACGGGCGATCCTCCCCCACCGGTGCCCATATTGCTGCCATCTTCTGAGCACACAGCACCTGGAGGGATGCAGAACGGGATGCATGCATGGACACTTGAAGAAAGGGGGGATGTTGGATCTAATCGCATCGTGCAACTGCTGATCCTCCCCCTCCGGTGCCCATATTGAAGCCATCTTCTGTGCACACAGCACCTGGAGGGATGAATGTGTAAAGGATGGATGGATGCATGCATGTATGCATGTATGCATGTATGCATGTATGCATGGATGCATGGAGAAACGGGGAATACTGCATCTGGGTAAATCCTGCAACTGAAGATCCACCCCTGACACCCAAGTCCCGACTCGCCCCCAAATCCCTCCCAACTCCTCTCCAATCCTCCAAACTCCTCCCCAAACCTCCCCAATCCTCCCAAATCCTCCCGACTCTCAGCTCCCAACAACCCAAGGATAGCAGCACAGGAATGCAACACACGCACCTGGTCTTGAACAACGTTGCCCAGCATGGCCAGGAACTCCTGTTTCCTCTCGCTCTCACACGCGAGGCATGTGTTCACGAGAACAAACAGCGCAACCACATGACACAAGAACAGACACGCACTCGCACCTGGTCCTGTACGAAATTGCCCAGCATGGCAAGAAAATCCTGCTTCCTCTCGCTCTCAAACCGCTGCAGTTCTGATGCATTGCGCTCCTGTGAGTGAAGGGAAACGAGAGGGCGTGAGGGCGTGGGTGAAAGCGTGACGTGTGAGGGGAAGCGAGCTTGAGCATGTGAGATGCGGGCTAGCCGTACGCAGCTGCCCTGCTTCCTCTCACTCTCAAACCGCTGCAGCTCCGACGGGTTGCGCTCCTGAGGAGGTGCAAGGAGATGGGCGTGGGGCGTGGAGAATGGAATGGAGTTTGTGCAGGGGAGTGACAAGTGCGCTAGTTTGTCGCAGGCCGCCCTGCTTCGGAGTCGGGTTGGAAAGAAACAACAGTGCACCTGACGTTGAAGAAACATGATATGTGGACTCACAGTGATCTTTCTGTACTCGTTAATAGCAGCCTCTTTAGCCTTCTCAAGCGCCTGAATCTCCCTCTGCAACTCCTGAGCCTTCTTCTGCTTGGCAGGATCTGATCCGTCCACCGACCCCAACCGGTCCAGCTTTGTCTTCTTGCCGCCCAGATCGCTCTCCAGTGTCTGCCACGTCAGCAGTGCCTGGGACCGGTCGGCGAGGGCCGTCCGGGCGGCAGCTGTTGTCTTGTGATACTCGAGGAGGATAGACTGATGGGGAGAGATGGGCGGGGTAAGAAAAGAAGTGGGGTACGAAGTGGGGTAGGAAGGGGGGTAAGAAGGGGGGTAAGAAGTGGGGTAAGAAGGGGGGTAAGACGTGGGATTAGAAGGGGGGTAAGAAGTGGGGTTAGAAGGGGGGTAAGAAGGGGGGTAAGAAGTGGGGTAAGAAATGGGGGAAGAGGAGGGGGCAACCATTGTCTTATGGTACTCTTGGAGGATGGACTGATGAGGAAGGAGGAGGGCGGAGAGGAGAGGGTGGGAGGGCTGACTGGCATGCCATTGTCTAGGCAAACCAACCCAACCCAACTCAACCCAACCCAACCAAGCCCAGCCCAACCCAGCCCAACCCATCTCACCAGAGTGCGTTTGTTTCTCTCCACCACGCTGTGTGACAGCTGGGCACTGCGCACCATACCCTTGCCCACGCTCTGACACTCTGCTACAAACGCCCGCTCCCGCTGCCCCACCCCCTTATCCCCGCCTCCTCCCCCTGCCTCCGAACCAGTTCCACCTTCCGGCCCCCCTCCAGCTGCACTTCCCCCTCCCCCTCCGCCTCCGCCTACCCCTACCCCTCCCCCTGCGCCTCCCCCTGCGCCCCCTGCGCCCCCCTCCGCCAGGCGCTGCCCCTGCAGCTTAGCCAGGGACCCGAACGTGATGCCCAGGGAGCCCACAATGCGGCTACAGCCGTCCTGGGCCTGCATCATCTGCACCGCCCCGGCTGTAGCCTCGGCCAGGTGCTTGTCCAGGTCTGCCAGCTTGGCTCGGGCCGAACCAAACCGCGCCTCGTCCGCCTCGACCTCCGCTGCGGTCGGCGCCGTTTGTCCCTTTCCGCTGGAGTTTCCGGATTCTTCGCCTGTTGCTCCCGCTCCTGCTCCTGCTCCTGCTTCTAATGCTGACGTGGACGTTCCTCCTCCTCCCCCTCCCCCTGCTGCTGACGTGGAACCACTGACAGCTGGCGGCTTGCCCGTCCAATCGTTCGCCACGGACTGCCCAAACGCCTTGAACATTCTGAGAAGGTTCCTCCCGCCGCCCGCCGGTTTGGCAGCTTCTGCCGGCGTGATGGAGTCTGCCGCCCCAAACAGCTGCTGGGGAAGCTTCACGGCACCTTCCAGTACGCGGGAAGCGATGTCTACTGACGAGGCGGGCTGAAATCTCTCGGATGACGTCAGGAAGGAAATCAAATCCGCGCTCCTGCAGAGGGGGAAAGAAAGGAAGCGGGAGAAGATCGGGGGAATGGGGGGGAAGGGGGAAAGGGAAGTCAGAAAGGCAATTAAGGGGGAAAGGCAAGGGAAGGGGGGAACGGGGGGGTAAGGGGGAAAGGGAAGCCAGAAAGGCAATTACATTCCTGCTCCTGGAGGCGGAGAGAGGAGGGAGGGGGAGGATGGGGAGGGGGAGGGGGAGGGTGAGGGCGAGCAGAAGCCGCGTTCACTCATCCCATTTTCTCATCCCCATCCATCGTCCCATACGTGCGGATGGCGGGGTGGTGTGTGAGGCGCTGCACGCACTTATCCAGCTCCACCTGCCTCATCCGCAACTCAAAGGTGTTAAGCAGACTCAAAGGGCAACTCTCCAAACGCGACTCAAACATACCGGCGGATGGCGGGGTGGTGTGTGAGGCGCTGCACGCACTTATCCAGCTCCACCTGCCTCATCCGCAACTCAAAGGTGTTAAGCAGACTCAAAGGGCGACTCTCCAAACGCGACTCAAACATACCGGCGGATGGCGGGGTGGTGTGTGAGGCGCTGCACGCACTTATCCAGCTCCACCTGCCCCGTCTTCACAAACTCCCAAGTGGACTCCCAAGGTCACTCACACGTGGGTCCCACGTGGGCTCAAACAAGAAGAGAATGAATCTTACCTGCGAATCTCAGGGTGGCGGGTGGCGGGCCAGGCGCGGCACGTACTTATTGAGCTCCACCTGCCTCGTCTTCACAAGCTCAACCCAGCGCAGCACCCAGAGGGGCTCTAAAGGCCATTCACACGTACCGGCGGATGGCAGGGTGGCGTGCGAGGCGCTGCACGTACTTATCGAGCTCCACCTGCCTCGTCTTCACAAACTCCGCCCCCTGCAGCACCTGACTCTCCATCACGTTCTTGTCCGGCCGTACCGGGATGAAGTACCCGCGGTGCGTCTCTGCGAGTCTGGAAAAGAAAGAGATGAAATCACAGGACAGGACAGGGGGAACAGACGGCGGGTGTTGAGTCATCTCCGCCCCCTGCACCACCAGGCTCTCCATCACGCTCTTGTCCGGCCGCACCCGGATGAAGTACCCGCGGTGGGTCTCGGCCAATCTGGTCAAGGGAGGAGAAGTAAGAACGGGAAGAAAGAGAGGAGAGGACGCCAGGGGGAACAGGCAGGAAAATTTGAGTCCGCCCCCTGGAGCACAGCACCTGACTCTCCACCACGCTCTTGTCCGGCCGCTCCGGGATGGAATACCCGCGATCAGACTGCGGTAGGGAGGAGAAGGACGAGAGGGAAAGATGGGACCAGAGGGAGGTTGACTCTCCTCCGCCCCCTGGAGCACCTGACTCTCCTCTCCACCATGTTCTTGTCCGGCCGCACAAGATTAGCAGCACCACTAACACCCGAAGAGAGCAGAACCGAAGCGGACAGAGCTGAACAGAACCGAACAGAACCGAGCAGAACCGAGCAGAACCGAACCTGTGTACCTGTCAGCCAGGGCGACAAATTCGCGGAATCTCCTTTCCACGCGGGCAGATGGGGCCCCGTATTCAGGCACATTCGTCTTCGTCTCAATCACATACGCCACGTAAGAACCCCCTCCGGGAATCATGGAGCCGCCCGCCTCCTGCAGCTTCTTGGAACCTACTACTCTCACGTCTATAAAATCGTTCGGCATCACTTGTCCTTTACCGCCACTAGCGCCGCCGCCGCTGCCGCCATTTTCGCCAGTCACTTGGCCTGGTACTGTACCAACCGCTGCCCCCCCAAGAGACGCCGCATTTGCCGCCGCAGAAGCCGCTTCTGGCCCACCACTCCCACCTGGGAACCCCCCAATGCCTCCTGGAAAGACCCCGCCGGGGATTCCGCCGTGAATGTCGGCGCCACCTGCGGGCATGCCTAGCCCGAAATCCGAACCTCCTAATCCGCCTGATGCGGATAAGCCTAGCCCTGAAAATATATCGCTGCTGCTGACGTCACCGACACGTGGAGCTTGCAGAGCCTCGTGATAAGGCGGCGGTGCCGGATCCAAGCCCACGTCAGGGAACCCGCCAAACGAGGCGGATGTTACAGGGGATGAATCCGTGGGTAGGGGAGGCGGGTTCCAGGATTGGCCGAGAGGATCTGACGTGTAAAACTGCGATGAGCTGGAGGATAAGATGCTGCTGTAATCTCCAGCCATTCCAGATGGCATGCCAGGTGTCGGATGCTGATCGGGCGGATTGAGCATCAGGCTTTCCATGGTGTCCATTGATTCGTCCAGGGCATGATTATCGTCAGCCGCACCGGGAAAATTCATCATTTCGAGCCTGTTGCTGCTTGCTCTTGCCACGTGGCAAGAGCAGATTCGTGATTATACTCAAAATATCTGAGAGTCAACGGTCTCTATGGGACAAAAGTCTATCAGGCCTACGATTCGGCAATACGAAACAGTCAGCGGCGGCGAACGAATCCTACCCAACTCCGAAGCTAGAGGAACGCCTGACCATGCGCGATGGTACAAGACAACGGTATGTGCGAATCTGCCAGGGAGACGCGAAGGCGTTGTAGTGTCAAGGAAATGAAAATAACATGAAGATCCGCTGTGAGTGAAATGAAATGGGATGGGAGGGAATGACTGGTGAGTGGGAGCGGGAGAGAATTCAACGTGGCTCACCAGCCGAGAGGCACACTCGCGGTTGGGAAAGGATCGCTTTAATCGAACTGTACTGTAATGAAAGTTTGTAGGGGCGAAAGGGAAAAAGCATACAACGCAACAGCCTTATCCGAGAATACAAACAAAAACTTCTAACGGAGTACAGCATCATGGAAGCAGGCGCTTGTGTGCCGGAGTCACCCAATGCCGTACATCAGCTCAATTCCAACCTTCGTTTATAGTCTCAAATTCGACATGATTTTATAATGAATCACTTCTGACATTGATGAATGCATGGATAACAAAGCTCCACATGCCCAGCAAATCACCAACAGACTCAACAAGTTGTTGATCATGCACTAATGTTTCCATGAAAAATCTCATTTACTTATCTCCATCAATGGCAGCCTCTGCTAGCTTATCCGCAGTCTCCTTCACTGCAGCTGCTGCAGCAGGGGCTTCTGCTTTCTTTCCTCCACCTCCCTTCTCCTTTTTCCCGCCTGCTTTGGCAGCTTTTTTATCCGCCGGTGCGCTAGGGGGGGCGTTTACGAAGGGGATGAAGTCAACACCCATCATAAAGGGCCGAAGCACCTCTGGCACAGTAACACCTGTCTCCGTCTGATAGGTCTCGAGGATGCAGCAAATGGTGCGCTCTGTAGCAGTGAGAGTGCTGTTGAGCAGATGGCAGTAATGCTTTGTTGTCTCATTCATCTGCGGGGCAAAACAGAGAGGTGAGACGGTACGCATTTGTCAGGAGCACGAGACAAGCTTGCAAAATACCTAGTGAACTCTTCAAACTTCGCTACCCAGTCACTGCACCACACACACACTCACACCTTATGCCCGTATCTGATCTCAAGCCGCCTGGCTCGATAGTCGGGGCGGTTGGAGCAGGAGACAAGCTCGCAAGCATACTTATACACCTCTTTACATTCACACTCCGGGACAGCACCCCACCCCACACACAGACCCACCTTCTTCTGGCCGTATCTGATCTCAAGCCGCCTGGCCTGGTAGTCGGTGCAGTTGGAGCAGGACACGAGCTCACGGAAGGTCTTGGAGGCCGGGAACCACGCCTCCAGGTCATATTTCTTGGCTGCACTGTCGTTGAGCGCCCCTGATACTATGGCCACCACCCGATATGGCAGACCCAGCTGGGATGGTGAGAGAAGAGAGGAAAGAGGGACGGTGGAGCCAGGGGAAAAGGAGCATGGAAATGGGTGAAACACGACCCACAGGACGATGGGGAGAGGAACAGGGGGGGAGGGGAAGATGTGCCAGGGGACAGGAGTGGGCAAGCCTGAGGGCGGAAGAAACCAACACAACCCATGCCTCCAAAGGGCATTTTTAAGTGACGAAATCATTGGCAGTGTTTGCAATCCGAGAGTCCACAAACACCCGAGTTGCACGAAAGAGAGAAATAAAGCCAATGCAGCAGCAAGCCCTCAGTTCTAGCCAGGTTTTTCCACAAGTGTGCACAACCCCAAGGGGCGGACCCGCACCAGCCACGCTACCTCCCCTCTCCTCTCCCACACAGGAGAAAACGACAATGAATGGAGGCGGAAGAATGATGGGAACAAGACAAAGGAACAGGTGGTGGTGGTAATGCCATGAATGAGAGGCGGAAAAGACAGGGAGGAGGGCAAGGAGGAGGGGACGGGCGAGGAGAGAGGGAGGAGCGGAGACTGGGAGGGCCACCCCTTGGCACACGTCCTTCAGTGTGGTTAAGACAAGGATCATCATCGGGCTCTTGCAGCTGCTGCTGCCAGAATTCAACAAGAGTGCACATTTGCCTCGGTTGGGCAAGGGCTAATCACTTGCCAACTAAATTTGCAGATCGAAATGTTGGTTCAACGCCATCCCAGCGTCGAATGCCCCCAATGTAGCCACCCACCTGTTGGTAAAACTCCTCCGAGTTCTTGAGCATCTGCTCGTGCATCTCCCACGAGTCGGTGGCGTTGGGGCTGGTAATGGCGAACTGCTCCACCTTCTCAAACTGGTGGATGCGGAATATGCCCAGCGTGTCCCGCCCGTGCGACCCCGCCTCCTTGCGGAAACACGTCGAGTACCCCGCGTATCTGAGCGAGAATGAGGTGAAGGCGACGGGTTGAGGTGAAGACAAGGGTAAGACGACAGTAGAAACAGCAGAACGGCAGCAGAAAGAAACCGAGTGGAGAATGGGAAAGGTAAGGGAACAGGGCAGCGTGGTTGGCAGAGTCAGTGACTAGCCTTTGTAGACCGCGCGCGGAGAGTAATGACAAGCAATACAAAACTGGACAGCTGGTGGTCCTCAGCTTGAATAGAGGTGTTTTTCCGCACACTCCGTTAGACGGGGTTCAGAATTAGCATGGTGTTTTGTAACATCAATGGACCACCTGTCATGAGAGCGAGATTCTGAAGACTGAAACAGTAAATCCAAAATGAAATGCAGGGACAACATCGCACAGTACAGTACTACCGTGATTCTTCCTAATTCCCCCTTGGTGTTCTCAGTAAGAGAGTAAAAAAGATGTGGGTCCCCATGCGACCCTGACGGGCGTCGGAATTAGCATGGATGGTTATCATCACAGAACACCGAGGCGGTACTTATGTGGCCGACGGACGTGGCAGAAAGGAGGGGGCTTCTGCCGACGAGTCGCCGACACAAAGATGATTATAAGTGAAAGTAAGAGAAAGAGGGGTGGGTGGAACGGGATGGGGAGCCCGAGTGGGGGAGGAGGGGATGGGGGAAAGGGCTCAAAGGAGGGAGAAACGGGGAGTGAGGAAGGCGCGCGAGTGGAGAGGGTCTGAAAGAGCGTCACCTGAGAGGGAGAGCCTTGGGGTCGAGCCATTCCCCTCGGTGATACGTGCACAGCGGCTGCTCCGACGTGGCGATCAGGTACTTGTCGTCGCCCTCTCCCGACACCTGCGCGGACAAACGCGGAGCGGAGGCAGAAACGCACGTGAAACGTGAGGCCACGCGACGAAAAAATTCGAGATGGTGGGACATGTCCACACCACAATAGACGAAATCCGAAGCCACACAAAGTCCACAACACACCACGGCTAATTCGACCTCCAAACTTGATTTCCTAAAATTCCCAACGTTTTAAACCCAAACGAACCTTGTAGAGCTCCTCGTCGAATTGCGCGAGCTGCGCGCACTCCGCCATGACGTCCTTGCGCATGAAGAAGGGCGTGTGCAACGGCGTGTACTGGCGCTGCACGAGGAACGAGAGGCCGAAGCTGATGAGGGCCTGGTTCAGCATCACGCCCATCCCCTTGAGGTAGTACCCTCGCCCCCCCGCCGTGCTCGCGCCTGTTGATAAAAACACCCAAAAACGCAACAAAACGAGAGAGAGAAAATAAAATGAAATAAATAACCGCGTTCAAGTCCGTGATGTCGAGGATGTTCTCCACATCCTCGTGGTTGCAATCCAAGCGAAACAAGGCGTAGTTGGGATTACTGAAGGGAGACACTGAAACCAACATCGGATCTCTTTCCAAGTCCGCGACGTCGAGCATGTGAACCAGGTCCACGTGGTTGCGATCAGAGCAGATCAAGGCAGAAACAACTATTGAGGACAAATGCTGCGACACCAGATTGAATGCCGCACCTCTCTCCAAGTCGGCGATGTCCAGCATGTGCACCAGATCCACGTGGTTGCGTTTCACCCCCTCGTCCGTGCGGGGCTCGCCCCACGTGCGAATGACGGCGTTGTGGTCTTCGTCGTTGTCCACGGGCACGGAGTCGTGCACCAGGTTGCCGATCGTGTTCACGCGCGCGTCCACCTCCTTGCGCTTCTCCTCCACCTCCACCGCCTTGGCTTTAATCGCCTCGTCGACGGATTTCACCTTGGCTATCTCCTCTGTCGCATCCTGCTTCGCCTGCGAAATGGGAGGAGAACGATGAGAGGCGAAAGAGAACGATGAGAGGTTAAAAAATGGAGTTGATCTCCTCGTCGATGGTTAATCTCCGTCGACCTTGCTTGGTTCTCCGAAGTAGGAAAAGAAAACAAGAGTCGGAGGGGTTTAAGGCGTTATCGAGAAAAACGGGTCACAATATAAACCAGACGTGGTTTAGCTAATAAAGCAAACTACAAACAGCACATGGAAGACACGAACCGGAAACCGGCAGACGAAGCTTTTTTATCACATTGGTCGACTGGAATCAGGGAAACACCACAAACAGAAGCACTTACAATCTTCTTGGCGGCGACTTCCTTGTTGGCCTTGTTGAAGTCTTTTCGAAGCTGATCCAGCTGGAATTGGCCTGAAGAGAAGAAATACAATGAAACCAGATCATCAGTGAATAAAACCACTAGGACAACACAGGAACAAGCCGAGCCGTAATCGACGTGATAAGCAAAAGACTTGTGGAAGAGGAAGAGATAGAAAAGGCGAAGGCTTGTTTAAGTTATCACATTCGATCCGTGAACTCACATTCTCGCCATTCTTTATCCAGAGCGATCACTTCGTCGACCAGCTCCACTTTCGCATATCTTCGCCGTTGTGATTCGCGAATGATCTCTGGATTCCCGCCCTTCTCCGCTCGGAACAAGTTAATGTCGAGCATCTTGAAAGTGCTTGATCACGAGGACCAGCTTTCAGCAGATCGGACTTTTAACCTTGTAATGCTCCTTAAAAGATTCTCCACAGAGGGAACCGATATTCAGGTGTTCGATTCACAAGGGTACTTGTAGTAAAAGGACTAGCTTGAAGATTCCAGGACAAGGCACAACCTGGAACCTGAGCCAAGAAATTTGTGAGCTTGAGGAGAACAAGGTTCTAGGCTGGTACAAGAAATTTGAAACAATGGACTTAGATGAGCCGGAACTCCCAATGGGCAAGAGAGCTCTGGTCTGGCTGAAGGGAGCTCGGCAATTTCAACGGACACGCCAGAGGCTTGGGGTTTTGGCATGTTCCGGCGGCGTTTCAGAGATCATGAGAATCTGAGGAGCTGTATTGCTTGATTCGCGGCGGAAAAACAGCTACGCTGGCGAAAGGTTACGTAACAGGGCGACATGAAAAGCATTCCCCCTCGAATTTCGAGTGACTGAATCTGCGATTGCTTCTAAAAAACCAAAATTGGTCAGATATCATTCCTGGTATGATTCTAAACAAATTAAGTCAAGCATGTCCATTGTAACACAGATAACCAAATGCTAATCCTCATACCGAGAACCCCAGCGGCCCTGCACCAATGAGAACCAACACAGCATAAGAAGTGCACAATATTCAAATTATTTCAATGATTCGAGCATACCAGCTGAGTAACGCCCACTTGCCAAAAATGCAGCTCGCAAAATGCACATCCAACACACCTCTGAGCGTGTGCAGGGGCCAAACCAATCAATGCCCTCCTTGATCCACACGCCCATCATTTCCTCCTTCCATCTCATTCAAATCAAGCAACTTACGTCCTTCCGTCCCCTCCTTCCCTCCCTCCACCGCCTCTGCCTCTGCCCCAGCCGCCTCAGCCTCTGCTGCTGCTGCAATAGCATCCAGCCCCAAGCTCATCCCCTCGCCCCCTCCCTCCCCCACACTCCCACCTGTATTCTCACCCTCACTCGTCCTTTTGCGCTTGTTTCCTGCATCCTCCCCCCTCACACTATCACTAGCACCTCCAGCTCCTTTGACCCCATCTGCCTCGGACTCCCCTGCCTGCTTACCCCCTGCAGTCGCCCCGTCCCCTTTATCCTCGTCCATTTTATCTCCCTCTGCTGCCTTCCCCTCATTTCGTCGCTCACTCAACCCACCTGCTCCTCTCGCTTCTCCCCCTTCTCCTCCTTCATCCCCCCTACCTTGCTCCGCTGCCTCCTCCTTCCTGTCCTCCCCTCCTTTCCCCCCCTCCTCTCCACCCTCCTTTCCCCTGCTCCCAGATCCCTCCTCCTCCTCCTTCCTCTCCTCTTCCTCTCCTCCCTCCCTCCCCTTCTCCCTCTTCTCCTCCTCCCGCCCCTCTCCCTTCCCTCCTCGCCTCCTCCTCCCTTCCATCTCCTTCCCGCCATCGTCACTCTTCGAAACCACCTCCTCAGAACCCCTCCTCTTCCCATCCCTCCCGGACGACGCATCACTGGCGGACGGCGACCCCTTGCGCCGAGACGAAGACCCCGTGCTCTTCGAATCCCCACTCTTCGACCCCCCACTCTTCGATTTCGAGCTCCTTGACTTGGACGACAGAGACGACCTCGACGACCTCGATTTCGATCTACTCTTGGATCGCGACCGCGAGGATTTCGAGGATTTTGACCTACTCCTCGACCGGGACGATTTCGATCCCGACGAGCGGCTCGATCGACTACTACTACCCACCGACCTGGACCGGCTACTGCTCGATCGCGATCGAGAACGCTTCCTCCTGCTACTCCTGTCGCCTCCCCTCTTCTCACCCCTCCCCCTCCTCCGCACACCACCACTGTCGCTATCACTGGAATCCTTTCCCCCTTTCCGCCCTCCTCTTACCTCGTCTCTTCCCTCTGCATCCTTCTCCCTCCCGCCGCGCCTCCTGCCCTCCTCCTCCCTCTCCTCACTGCTGCCCCCATCCCTAGCCTTGTCCTGCAACAACACCCACAAGAACAAAAAACAGGAGGGTTTTTTTTTTTTTTTGAAACGATGGTCCTGTGCTTCATCAACCTGCCCTAAACCACTACAGCTAGACTTAACACAAAGAAAAAGGAGAATCGCCTTCAAGCAGGAAGTAAACTGGTCAGCTTTCTGTTTTCTCTCCACTTTCCACCTTTAACTCCTATTTTTGCTACCTTGTTTTTCGAGCCCAGACATGCATTGATGCATGTGTTGAAACAACACTCCATCAGACCGCATGGAAACCCAGCGCACCCCTACGTATTGTCCCCATCTCTTTGTCTAACTGCCTCCTGCGTTTCAACTTTGAGTCAACTAAAAAACGGAACCCAACGCTCCCCTACGTGTTGTCTCCAGCTCATCAAATAAGTCACGAAAACTAATGTACCTTTGGGTACGTCTCCAGCTCATCACTAGGCGCCTCCTGAGATTAATATGAGCAGAACTACACCAGAGCTAGAATACCTTCGTATACATCTCCAGCTCAACATTCAGCACCTTTTCTGCCTATATAAAGTAGAAATACACCCAAACCATAACTAACACCTCAGTGTATAACCACGAAACCGAATTTACCTTCACGTACGTCTCCAGCTCATTACTACGCTCATAACTAAATCGAGTCGATCTACACCAGAACTCGAATTAGCACCTGTATGTACTTTTATATTCACGAAACCGAGTGTACCTTCGTGTACGTCTCCAGCTCATTATTACGCGCCTCCTGTGAACCTAGCAAATCTACACCAGAACTGGCACCTGAATATAACCACGAAACCGGGTGTACCTTCATGTACGTCTCCAGCTCATTATTAAGCGCCTCCTCTGCCGCCCTCCCACTTGCCTTGGAAGCAATGCGCCGCCCCTCGGCCCCCGTCCCCGCCACTGCAATCCCCGCCGCCCCCGCCGCCGCCGCTGCCCGTTCCGCAAAGCGCCGCGACCGGGTAGGGCACTGCGGCGGGGAAACAGACGCGGGGAAGAGAACGGGCGGGGGAAGCAGGGAGGGGGGCAGGGGGACGGGCGGGGGGCCGGGGGGTGGGAGAGGGGGAGGAAAGGAGAAAGGGGGGGAGTGCGGGAAAGAAAGATACGTCATTCATTGGCGCGCTTTACAAATCGGCGCAATCAACAAGCAATGCATAAGCAGCGTCGGAACGAGAGGGCAGCAGGCGTAGAGGGAAGGAAAGGAGGAACGGAAAGGCGAGGTTAAGAGAGGAACGTTGGGAACGGGGAGCGGAGAGGGAAGGTGGGAATGGGGCGGGGTGTGGGAGGGTCGGGGGGTGGGAGGGGGGTGGGAGGGGAGGAAGGGAGGAAGGGATGATAGGACAACGCGCATGTGAACCTATGCGTGAACCGCATACGCAGCATAAGCCGTAGATCTAGCATACACACAGCAAACGCTAGCACGGGAGCGCAGCGGCGTACCTCTCGCGCGAAGTGCCCCGGCTCGCCGCACTCATAGCACCCGTCTCCCGCCGGACGCACCACCTGCGGCGGAAACCCCGTCCCTATCGGCGCCCCAAACGCCGCTATCCCCGGCGGAAATCCCGGCCTGAACGCCCCAATCCCTGCCCCCAGCCCCCCCATCCACCGATCCTGCATCCCCGGACCTAGCCCTCCCACTGCCGCGGCTGCCGCCGCCGCCATTGCCGCCGGCGGCATCATCGGCGCGCCGCCGCCAAACTTCTCCGGGCATTCCCGCGCGAAGTGCCCCTTCCTGCCGCAGTAGTAGCACCCGTCCTGACCGAACTCCGAGCCTGGGCCGAACCCGGGCCCGGCTCGGCCCGAGCCTATGGCTCCGATGGGGGCGCCGAGGGGTGGCTTGGCGGGGCAGTCGCGGGCGATGTGACCCACTTCGTTGCACACGTAGCAGCGCTGCTCTATGGGACCATCGGGGTTGCCCTGCTTGAACTGACACTGCAGGCGTACAGAGGGGTGACGAGCGGTTGAGGGAGGACGGGAGGAGTGCAGAGGGGCGCAGAGGGGCAATGAGGCGGTTCAGAATAAGTGAGCCACATCCTTGCAGACGTAACAGCTCTGACCGCCTTCAAGAATCCCTCGCTTGGAACTGACAGCCTGCAGGGATGCAGAGGAGTGACGCGGGGTGGAGAGGAAGGAAGAGACGGTGCAACGTGCGGAAGGAAGGCGCAGGGATCCGCGCTGGGAACTAGTTATGAACAAAGGGGGGTAAGCAGAAGACGGCACGGCGCCTCGTAAGCCGATTAATCCAGCATACCTACCTTGATGTGTAAACTACGGTCTTATGGCGAGGTGCGCACCTCGAGACGGGAGGCTAGGAGGAAAGCTGGGCGGAGAGCGCTGGAGGCAAGGAGAGGCAGTGTGTCTCATATCTCTCCCCCTCTTCCGCCCCCCCTTCCCCTCCCCCGCCCCGCCCCGCTCAGTCCCACCCCTAGTCCACTTTCTCAACTCCTCCCTGTCTTTCCCCTCTGCCCACCTCCCGTGTATACCTCCGCCACGCCCTCATCACCCCTCCACCTTCCACCTCACTCCACTCCATCCCACTCCGCTCCAGACCTCTTCACTCCACGCCACCACACTCCACCTCTCCACGCCACTCCATTCCACCCCCTCCAGTTTCCCATTCCGCTTCACCTCCATGATTTTCAGCGTCCAGCCCTCCCAGTCGCCCTCCTTCTCCTACCCCTCACCCTCTCCTCACCCATCGTTTCTCCTCTAATCTAACAGCTACGCGCAGGACCCACCTTCGCCGTTGCTTCGCACCGAGCATGTAAAGCCCCTCAGGGAAGAACGAGACGGAGGAGAAGGATAAGGAGCAGGAGCACACATGGAGAGACACGCCACTTTCACGCGTTGCGCTAAGGCCGAGCTTTCCTGACAACGCACTCTCCCTCATCCCTTTCTGCTTCCCCTCTCGCTCCCTTTCCCTCTTCCTCTTCATCTCCCTCGCCCTTCACCACAAGAAAGACAACGGCTGGTGCCCTTTCTATGTCAAACTAACCCTACGGAACGACCAACGCATTAACCACGTCTGCTTCGGGTGACCAAGCATAAGAACAAGCGACGAGGGAAAACGGAAATACATGTACAAACAGCGACGACGTGAAACAAACACACAGTGAGCTTGAAACATTAAACAATTAAAGAGGGAACGGATCGAAATAAAGGGGGTGTAAGTGGAACAACCTCCAACAGCTTCGTGATCATGACCAGATATTTCCACTCGGACATACCTCTCGTGCCACGTGTCCCCTCCGCCCACATTCGTAGCACTTGGGTCCCATCCCATCGTCGCCGAACCTTCCGCCGAACCCGCCTCGCGCGCCGAACTTGCTCGGGCACTCGCGCGCCCAGTGACCCACCCCGCCGCACGCATTGCACCGATCGCTCATTCCCGGACCTCCAGGACCTCCCATTCCGCGCGGACCTAACGGCGGACCTCCCATCCCCATAGGTCCGCCGCCGCCGAACCTGCTGCCGGACACGCCGTACCGATCGTCACGATCGCGGTCGTACCGGTCGTCACGATCGCGGTCGTACTTGTCGTCACGATAACCGCCGCTGCTGCCCCGGCCGGCAGAATCGTACCGGTCGCTGAACCCCGAGGGTCGATCTCGACCGTCGCCTCTATCGCGATCTTTCTCCCGTTCGCGAGAAGAAGCCTTTTCGCGGTCCCGGTCGTGATAGCTGTCCTTATCCCTGTCCCTGTCACGATCGTAGGATCGGCCTGCTTCTCTGTCCCGTTCGCGTTCCCGGTCCCTCCCGGAAAACCCTGACCGGTCAGTCACACCGTAACGGTCACGATCCCGTGAAGCGCCAGCGAGACTGTCAGATCGTCGAGGCGACCGCGACCGTTCGCGATACGAAGCGTGTGCGGATGGACGGTCGCGATCCAAGGAATCGTAACCGCTGCGCGACGGCGGCTGCGAGTCGAACTGGCGAACGGAGTCGTAGGGTGAGCGGCCATAACCTGATGCCATGGCCTTAGCCTTCGCAAGAACTTCAGATCCGGGATAAGAAAAATCACAAAAGTCGGTAAGTGACGAAACGACCGAACTGTCGACGAATGAATCACAAACGCCAAGCCACGAAGCTCCTAGCCTGTTCGTCTAGCCCAGGCAGCTGGCTAATCTGACCAAGATCGAAAATAGGCTTATTTTCTAACCAAGTGAACCAGCAGAAGCTTCACGAAACCCTAGACATTCCCTCCACCACCAGACCCGCAAAAAACGCGCGGGAAATCATCGCCTGAGTGGTGCTCCACCAAGTTGTACATTGAGTTACAACTTTAACATGTGGGATCCTGTTACGATTTCAATCTAGTGAGCTAACTAAAGACAGCACTATCAAAGCAAAACAGTACATTGAGCGAAGGGATGAGCGAATGCTATATAACGAACTAGCATGGTAATGGTAATGCGCGAAATAGGGTGCGCGACGGGCCTGGTGCCGAGATTGGGAATTGTCGCAGAAGACCGGAGTGCAGATTACCAAACCAACCGAGCTGTAAGGTTGGGACGGGATGTGAACACTGTCGGGAACAGTGGTCGAGACGAGTGTCGCTGTGGTAACGGTTTACTGTTGGAGGGAACAGTCATGTACGCGGTAAGCAGGGGCGCGAAGTAAAGACTATGAAATTTCCTTACATATCATAAACATTGAATGCACTTTACCTTACCCTCGCAACGAGAGGGGGTGGGGAGAGAGGGAGGGGACGGGGACGAATAAGGGAGGACGTTTGTTTTTTTTTTTTCTTCATTTCTTTATTTTTTCTTTCTAGAATTGCGAGATGTATATTTACGAAGTCAGACAAAAGCGCAGATGTTCGAATTGCGTATTTTCTCGCGTTGCTTCTTTGTGCGATGGTCACCGATTTAAACCCCAGTTTCGTACGGCGGCAGGGTTAGTGTTCTCCAATTCTAGCTACTTCAGTACCGCCACACGCGTGTCAAACTATATATATAATGTTAGGGTGTAGGCTGTAGTGGGGTAGCACATATGGGGTACAACACATTGCTAGGGTTTGTACTTGTACCCAATCTTCCCAATAGTCAATCATTCCTGACTAGTTTCTGAGATGGTATCAGAGCAGTAGGTTTTTAGGACCTAAGATTAGGGCCCACATGTTACCGCGTTACCTCACCTACGGCCTTGCCTGCCTACCTGCCTTGCATGCTGCCCGTGCGCGCCTCGGCTGCACGCGCGCGTATCTTTTTTTTTTTTTTTGCGAGCGCTACTGCTGCAGCTGCCTTCGCAGCCCGCGACGAGCTCGCGCAGCCCGCCGCCGCGCGCAGCCCGCTTAGGCCCCGCGCGCCGCGTCCGTCGCCAGCGCGGCCCGCTGCTGCCCCGCGCGCTGCGTCCGCCGCCCGCGCAGCCCGCTGCTGCCCCGCGCGTCGCGTCTGCCGCCTGCGCCGCCTGCGCCGCCTGCTGCTGCTCCGCTAGTTGCCTTAGGAGAGCGCGCGGCCTGCTGCTGCCTCGCGTGCCGCCTTAGGAGCTCGCGTGCGGCCCCCTGCTGCCCAGCACGCCGCTGTAGAAGCCCGCGCGTGGCCTGCTGCTGCCTCGCGAGCTGCCTCAGGAGCCCGCGCGCGGCCCGCTGCTGCAGCCTACGCGCGGCCTGCTACTGCCCCGCGCGCTGCCTGAGCTGCCTTTGCTTGCTGCCTACTGCCTGCTGCCTGCTGCCTTTGCCTTTGCGCCTACTGCCTCTGGCTTTCCCTGCACTGCGATTATGGCGACGCTTAATGTTCTCGCGTTTGAGCCTGACGGTCGCCCGATCGAGTTCGCTGTGTGGCTCGACGATCTCCAACTGTTCCTTCTGACCGATGCCAAAGACGGCGTTTCATTGTTCGATTACGTGTCTGGCACTGCCGTTGCTCCTGCTGACGATGCTACTGCTCTCGAACACTCACAGTGGCAGACTCGCGATGCTGCTGCACGCCTAGCTATTAGGAACCATCTGCCGATCACTGAGCGCGCGCATTTCAGCCAGAACAAAACTGCTAAGGCACTGTACGACGCTGTAGTTGCGCGCTACTCCTCCCCGTCCACTGCATCCCTAGGTCGGCTCATGCTACCCTACCTGTTCCCCGACCTGTCCTCGTTTACCACTGCTGAGGACCT